TTGGGGTGAAGTTGTCATTTTGAAGTAGGGTTCCTTCTGGATATAAGCCCAGGAGCGGGATTCCTGAGTCATATGGTAAGTCTATTCCTAGTCTTTTGAGGAATCTCCCTAATCATTAACTCTTGAGCCAGCCTTTTGAGACTCAGGGGAGACCTGTGAGACTAAAGCAAAAGCCTTTAATTCAAGGGACAGGGAAACATGGCTGGTATGCAGTTTCATAACTAGTAATAATTTACATCTGTGTTTTTCTTTATAGTTTTCAAAATATCTATGACTATTATATACTTAATTATTCAATAACAGTAGTTAATCCTGTAAGGAAGGAAAAAAACTTTTCCTCTACCCTCTTAAGTCACTGGCTAGTGCCTGCAAATTAAACTGGCTACTGACAGATTAACAGGAAAAAAGACATACATTTTTTACTTGATGTTAATATTTAATTTTTTACATACACAGAGGCATTAATTGAAAAGAAGTGACTATCCAAAGAAGCAGTTAGTTGCTGGGAGCTTATAAACCCTTTTAACAAAGGGTGATAAATTGTAGAGATGTGAGAAGACAAAGGAGATGGGGTTTGGGCTTCTAGGAGTGATGCATTGTGGGAAGGTGCATATACTCTGGAAATTAATGGAAATTAAGGTATATTAGTAAGTTTTATGTACATCCATCTCAGTGCTGACTTTTTGTCTCCAGTGATAAAAATGGTCCTTCTACTATGAGAGACAGGAAGGGGAACACCTTCACAAAGAGAAATTTATGTCCTACTTCTAGGCAAATAAAGAGAGGGCAAACAGCTCTTTCTATGTTTGCTGCTTCCCAGTTTCCTTCAGATCAAAATAATCCTTATGCCAAAGTGGCATATAATTTATAGCATAATTTGATCCTCTTCAATCCAAAATTCAGAAAATAAAAACATTACTGATAATTTTATGACCATAACAACCACTATCATCTGTTGTCTCCTTTTAAACAATTAAGACAATTTAAATTCTCTTTAGCAAGTATCTTATGGAATGTGTTGAGATTTTGCAAATGTGTGATTCTTTTGGTCATAGGTGAGAGTATCTTAGTTTGTAAGAACTCTGAGAAATCAAAAGGAATAGCTCTACTTCAGGGATCTCTAAAACCTGTTCAGAGCTGTCTGCAGAAACAAGGAGAAGAAGTAACTTCGAGCATGATAAGAGCTATTCTGGAGGTAAGAGACAGTTCACTAAACTACTATTTGCTTTTTTGTTCCTATAGTACAGTGGTAGAACTTTAATTTAGTATGTGAAAAGTTGTAGCTTTGTATCTCTTTATGGGATTATTTATAGCCTACTCAAGTTTGAGTCTCTTCTATTTTATATAGTTACTTCTTGAAGTTTAATATAGCTAATGGTATATCAGTCTACTTCAAAGTAGTGGTTTAAATGCCAGATGGTTATTTTTATTTTTTAGATAGTTTTTATAATTTTCTGAGTTTCAAGAAAAGGTGACAAAAATAGACCCTAGTTCTTCCATCCAGATAATACCTATTGACATTAAAATAAAATAAAATTACAAATGCACAATTAGAAGTTGCAATCTTTAAATATGAAAATATCTAAAATGAAAAATAAAACCTTTTGCTTAGAGTGTCTCAAAGGTAACCCCTTTTAAGTGTTTCATGTATTCATCCAAAAAAGTTTCTGTTCATATACCAGCATGCCTTGCTATTGGTTTCAGTGCTGGTGCTAGAGGTACTGGTACTGTACTCATTCACTTTTTTTCCCTCTTAGCTGTCAGTTTGAAGAAAAAAAAAATAAAGAAAAGTAATTGATAGCATAAAGTAGGTAAGAATGTAGAAAGTAGGTACTTTCACATACTGCTGAAACTCTTTTTGAGGGCAACTTGGCCATAACTACTAGGATTAAAAAAAAAAATGCACATAGCCATTTATCCAGTAGATTCACATCTGGGAATTTTCCCTGGGGATATATTTGTGAAATTTTATCAAATTAAACATACAAGAATATTATAGCTTTTTGGTTATAAGAAAAAAAACTAGAAACAACCAAAATACCATTAATACATTATAACGGGCTTTGCTGTCATTAAAAAGAATGAGATAGCTCTATTTAGGATGCTTTAATATGGTTCCAATATATATTAAATGAAAGAAAGTAAGAGGCAGATTAGTGCACATAATAGACAGTTGTGGGTAAATGATATCCATAAGACACCACTTTCATCTTTTTCTACACCTATTCCCACCCCTCTTCTAGGTGGGAAGTATTCACTACTAGCATTCTTATATGCCCACATATTTCAAAAGGAAGAGTTAGAGGAATTTATTTGGTTCAGGAGCATAAGCCATCAACACCTTCTTTATATTATATATGTTAAAATTTATATATATTATTTATGTTGTTAGTTTCTGCATTTCAAATAAATAATGATTTTTATTAGAAAATGTATCTACTTTTTAAGAAAACTTTTTATGTTTTCAGTAGGTGTTATATACATTTATAATGAATGATGGTAGAAGAGTTAATGAAGAGTTTCTATGTTAAATGCTGATATTTTAAGAGAACAAAATAATGTCTTATATTATGAGGGCCTATATATCTTATTAAAGAGTTACAGAAAATTGCAAACCTCTTGTCTCAGATAATAGTTGGTGGAGTGGCAAATACATCACAAGATTTACAGACTTATGCTTCTTGCACATTCTTGGCTGCAAGTATGAAAGAAAAGAAGCAGGAAATTCAGAAAAATCAAGATTCTGTTCAACTTGGAGCAATTGAGGCCTGTGTAATGTGGCTGCTAGAAAATGAATTCATCCAGGTTACTGGAGCTAATGATGGAACAGAAGGTAAAAATGACTTCTTGGTTGCAGTTTACTCACTTTTTCATCTTTAGTGACTTATAGTGTATAAGACTGCTTAGTAAAATGAAACTGACTTTTCAAGCAGTATATCAACTCATTTTTAGTAAATCGGTGCTGTGTTCAGCAACATCACACAATTAGCATAGAGCCTGCTCATGAATATCCATGCATTGGATTCTGTTGGTAAAATTTATCAGCTCCTGAAAGGTTAATTACAGAATATTGAAAAACAGTGTTTTGTTTTGTTTTATTATTTTTTTTACATTTTTTATTGAGTTATAGTCATTTTACAATATAGTGTCAAAGTTTTATTTTATTTTTAACATTTGGTTCTTTTTTTCCCCACCCCACCCCCAAAACAGGAAGTGTGTACCATCCAACACATCTTGGTTCAGCAGCTATATCTTCTTCACTTTGTCCATCTGATACCTTAGATATTTTTGCCGACCTCCAAAGAGCAATGAAGGGCTTTGTTTTAGAGAATGATCTGCATATTGTTTATCTAGTAAGTTCTGTTTTCTTCATTATTATATTTGTGGAAATGGGGAAAAAATACCTATAAAAGATCCTGAACATCAGAGATACCCTATGGGAATATCTTGCCTATTTTCCTTGACTAGGTGGGAATAGAAAAGAAATAGTGAGAAGAGAGTTGTTTTAAAGTAGTAACTTTAATGTTCTGGTGACCTTTTAATCTACTTGCCTATCTATTTTCTCCAACTTCCTTTCAAAAAAGATTTGAGGTGATTTATAAAAAAATACGTATTTTACGATATGTAAGAGAATAGTAAAGCACAGTTGAGATACCTGGAAATTAAAGATAAGTCCATAATGTAAAATTCAAACAAAGTTTGGTACATAAACAAGAGACAAGAATACCATTAAGTCATGTACAATTATTGTGCCTAACTTTGGTTCTAGGCTGTCTAGCAACTGTAGCAAAGAGGGGGGTTTGGTTAATTTCAATATTCATAAGATTAAAAAAATAGCAGAAATATTGCATTTCATTGTCTAAGATAAATTTAGTCCTAAAAAGACACTATGGGACTTAGATTCTTCATAAAAAACCTATGATAAATGCAGTAAGGACTTTTAAAATTTGTTTACATTAGATAATCTTTTATAGATATTTTTAAAACAAAGATTTTTATAAAAATTGGATAAAATAGAGTTTGAAAGCATATTCTCTCAAAAGAATCTGGGGAGAAATATTTTATTTTGTCAATTAAGTGCAGATGGTGGGAAGTGATAATAAGCAAGATGGTGGTATAGGAGATCCCTGGCTGTAGTCCCCATCACAAAAACATGAATTAGTAACTATTCATAGTCAAGAACACCTTGCTAAGAATCCCAGAACCTGGTGGTGAGGTTGAGACACTCTCTTAAAGCACAAAAACGAGAGCAGCCACATTAGAAGACTAAGAGCAGTTGTTTCACTTTGCAAGTGTTGCCTTTCTTCAAGCCAGCACACTGAGAGGGATCCCCTGTGCCTACACTTTCTCAGTGGGGAGAAGAGAGCCAAGGTGGCTGTCTAGTTTTCTCATCCTCAGTATTCTCTGGGAAGCTCACTTCCGTTTTGCCTCACAGAGACCCCTGGGAGAATTGGCAAGGCTAGACCACCTAGGGTCAGCTAGGAACAAAGAATGGGATGGGGCTTACAATGACTAGTGTGTGGATCATGGCAATGGCAGTCATCCTTCCTGGCCACCTCACCAGAAAGAGGCCAACAAGTGATTCTACTCCCTTGTGGTGCCAGAATAACGTCCCCATCTGGCCAAGAAGCAAGGTGAGCAGTTCTGGGGGTCTAGGGTCCCCAGCTAATGGCCTGCCCAGCCTGCAGCCCTGCCCTGCCAGGAAGCCAAGCCAGCAGCCCTACCAAACTGCAGAGCTCGCTTGCAGCCTTGCCTGACCAGGGATCCTGAATGCAGAATATAACCTGGAGTCCTGCATGAACACAGAGTTCATCCTGTGGGCCCAGCCAGCTGTGGAGCACAGTCTCTTGCTATATCTGAACATGGAATCCAAATAATGGCACTACCTAGCCAGGAGTACAGTCTGTTTCTGACTGACCAGAGGGCCCACAAAGAGCCCCATCCAACCTCAGAGCTCAGCCAGTGAACCTGTCTGACTATGTCAGCCCAGCCAGTGACCATGTCTGTCCACAGAGCCCAGCTAGCAGTTCCACTTGACCAGGCAGCTGAGGCAGGGGTCCTGCCTGAATGTGGAGAATGTCAGTGGCCCCATTCAACCAGAGGTCCTGCCTGCCCTCCTGTGGACTCCACCAGCTGGCCCTTTGTGGAACCCCAGGCTGGGCTGACTAGTGAAGGTCTTTTTCTGTCAAAGCAAACATGTGAAGATTGGAAGAGGTAACTGAGTTTCCTCAAATGCACAAACACCAACACAAAGATGCAAGAATAATGAAGAATCAGGGAAACATGACACCACCAAGGAAACTAATAATGCTCCAATAAACAAACCTAAAGAAATGGAGATCTATGAACTGACTGACCAAGAATTCAGAGTAATCCCTTTAATGAAGTTTAGTTAACTATAAGAAAACACAGGTAGGCAACTGAACAAAATTAGGAAAATAGTACATAAACATAATGAGAAGTTCAACAAAGAAATAGAAACCATTAAAAAAAAAAAAGCCCCCAAACCCGGAAATCTCAGAACTGAAGAATATAATGACTGATTTGGAAAATTCACTTGAGAGCTTCAAAAGCAGACTTGATCAAGCAGAAGAAAGAAACCATGAACTCAAAGATAGATCATTTGCAATTATACATTCAGAGGAGAAAAAAAATGGAGAGTGAAAATCCCTGCAAGACTAATGGGACACCATGAAGTGAAAAAAGTATACACATTATTGAAGTCCAAGATGGAGAAGAGTGAGAGAAAATGGCAGAAAGTATTTGAAGAAATAATGGCTAAAAACATCCCAAATATGAGGAGAGATATGGGTATCTAGGTACATGAAGCTAAGAAAACCCCAAACATACAACCAAAGGGACTTCATTGTGATGCATTATTACCAAACTGTCAAAAGTCAAAGAATCAGAATTTTGAAAACCACAAGAGAAAGGACTTTTGTGTATGTATGTTTGTATGTATATATGTATGTATGTATATATGTATGTATGTATGTATGTATGTATGTATGTGTGTATGTATTTAAATGGAGGTACTGGGGATTGAACGTAGGACCTTACGCATGCCAAGCAGGCACTCTACCACTGAGCTATACTATAACCTCCCCCCAGGACCTTTGTTATATACAACCTCATAAGGCTATCAGTGGATTTCTCAGCAGAAACTTTGCAGGTCTGGAGAGCATGGTATGATATTTTCAAAATATTGAGAGAAAAAAACTGCCAACCAAGAATACCTAGCATGCTGTTCTTCAGAAATGAAGGCAAGATAAAGTTTTTCCCAAACAAAAGCTGAGACAGTTTATCACCATTGGAGATGCATCATAAGAAATGTTAAAGGGAATTCTTCAGGCTGAAAGGATGCCAATTAACAATGTAAAAACATTTGAATATATAAACTCACTGGTAAAGGTAAATTTATAATCACATTCAGAATTCTGATTGTAATGGTGGTATGCAAACTTTTATACAAAAGTTAGACACACATGTTGAAAACAACTATAATTTCAATAATCTGTTCAACTTTTTTCAGATTCCACATATGAGTAAGATCATACAAAATTTGCCTTTCTCTGTCTGGCTCATTACATGTATCACAGTGCCCTTCAGCTTAACCATGTTGTCATAAATGGCAAGAGTTCCTTCTTTTTTATGGCTGTATGATGTTCCATTTTATGTATAGTTATAACATACTATTTTAAGCTAATATTTAATTCTATACAAAAACTCTGTACTTCTCTACCCCTTCATGTTTTATGTCACTGATACTACAGTTTACATGTTATCTTATGTATCCATTTCTTCAAATGTTCTTTCCTTTCTTTCTTCTGCCAGCTTTTATCTACTGTTTAGCTCTATAATGAATAGTTCATTTCAGTTGTACTTTTTAGCTCCAGAATTTCTACTTGGCTCTTTTTTGTCATTTCTGTTTACTCATATTCTCTACTTGATGAGACATTGTCATCATACCTTCCTTTACATCGTTTAACATGGTTTTCTTTTGACCATATTTATACTGTCTGCTTTGAAGTCTTTGCCTGGTATTTCCAACATCTGGAATCTCTCAAAGAGGTTTCTTTTGCCTGCTTTTTTTTTTTCTGTGTTTGAGACACACGTTCTTGTTTCTTTTCATGTCTCATTGTTATTTGTTGTTGTTGAATCCCAGATACTTTAGATAATATATTGTAGCAACTTTGAATATTGATTCTTCCTCCTCCTCCCTCTGTTTTCTCAGAAATCATACAAAATACTTAAGATTGTATTTAACATCAGAATATTGAGATTAAAAGTGCCTATGATGAAAGTTCTTGGATTCTGTAAAATCCAGCTTGTATGCTTAATGGTCTCTTCCTTTTCCCTTGTCAATGAGTTGTTTATGATTAAATTAAGTTTTCACATAAATGAAGCATTATCCCATTTAGAAAATTTTCCAAATACCGAGGCTTTTGTTTTTATCAAGAAGTGTATACTTACAATTTTGTCTCTCTTGTAATGCAATAGTTTCAGGTAATGGATGATTCTGCTTCCCTTTAGGTTACACCTATGTTTGAGGATTGGACTACTATTGATTGGTATCAGTTTTTCTGTTTATGGGAGAAGTTGCCAGCTTCTATGAAACGGGTGGCAGAGCTAGTGGGAGTTGAAGAAGGGTTCTTGGCTCGCTGTGTGAAAGGAAAAATAGTAGCCAGAACTGAGAGACAGCACCGACAAATGGCCATCCATAAAAGGTAAATATCAAGGAACCTGACTATCCAGTATTTAACACAGTATTTGATATGTAATAGTTGTCCAGTTTATTGTAGTCACTTTCATTGTCATTAAAATCAAAGTTTTGGCTAAGTATAGTAACATTTTTCAATTTCCTGTATTTACTGAATTTATTGGTATTTCAGTTTCTTCCTTGTGGCTTACGAGATGCCATTTATCAAGACTTTTAAAAGTAGAACATTTAATTACTTCCTTTCCTTAAAGAAGATGTGACTTAGAACAGCCAACTTAGTGTGGCTCAATTTGAAGGTATGCTTTGTATCATCCTTAGAAGTGATTCCTTACCGATTCATTACCTGTAGGGAAGAGCCAGTTAAAAAGATTCAGGTGGGGAAATTGCACAGGCTTTATCTTCTTTGAAATATAATACAATTGTTTTTCTTACAGTATTAGTCTTTAGTATATTATTTACATCATAGTCAAGTGCAAATTTTGTAAGGATTTATATACTTGAATTATTTGTGGCACAATTGCCTTTCACATTAAAACTTTTTTTATAATCAAATTTTGATTGAAATATGATTAGATGGTATAACTGTGTATCAAGTGTTCTTTTCAATTTTTGTGCCATCACATTTCTTGAGCCAAGTTTTATTTATTAAAATTAATTAGCAATAGTGAAATATGGAAGAAATCTTTTTGTTATACAGATATTAGTTTTTTGCTATAGTACTAATGTTATGTCAGAATTTACTTTACAGACATTGAGGTCTTTGTCCATTAATTCTGTATCCTATTATAGGAACTGTCTCACTTTCCCAGAGGTGTAAACCCTCCCTTGCCTTTATTGGTTCTTGTTTTTCAACATACATTGTACTTTCATAGTAGACATAAGTGATCTCTTACTACCATACTTTTGTAATTTACTTTCCAGGTTTTTTACCAGTCTTGTGCTATTAGATTTAATCAGTGAAGTTCCCTTAAAGGAAATTAATCAGAAATACGGATGCAATCGTGGACAGATCCAATCTTTACAACAGTCAGCTGCTGTTTATGCAGGTCAGTTAAACAAGCATTTCCACATTTATTTAAGACTGTGGTTTGAGGTCAAGTTAAGGTAACTTTTTTTTCAAATTCCATTTTACTGTAGGCTTCTCTAAAAGTTAGAGGGCTGTGTCAAGCCATAATTTTGTATAGCCCCTGTCATCATCAGAACACTTAAAACTACAACTCTTCTGGACTTTGTTACATTATTACAGGAGACTGACAGCTAGCCGAGTGTCTAGACCTTAGTCCCCTTCCATTCCTTAGTCTGCTTACCATCCCTCTCTCTTTTTTTTTGCCTGTTGTAAGAGGAAACAGATCCAGTTCTCAGTGGTCTTCCTTTATCATCAGGTTACTGATTAATACTTGTTATTGAGGAGGATGGCAAGTGGAGAGGGATTTCTGGACTTCTGTTTCACTGCTCTAAATGTCATCTCTTTAAGAAAATACCAGTCTCCCTTAATAAAATTATACTCCTATCCTGTAAGCTAGGCAAACAAGGGAAGTTCTAGGTCTGATTTTATCAAGAACACTTTAAGCCCTAAGGAAGGAAACCCTGGGTTGCTAGAGAGTGTATTTATATGTGAAGTTTCATTGTGGAGGTGTGTGAAGGGGAGAATACTGAGGGAAAGATGAGAGGGTAATGAGAAGGGAGACTTACTGGTATCAACTCACTGGTATCAAAGATCTCAGATTACATCTAGGGTTAATGTTCTCATAGGGAAATGATTTTCTTAATGACTTGACACTTGGCTGCTCTGGCCTCTTTATTTCAGGAGGGTATAGCTATTGAGCTGGGCAACTTTTTTTTTTAAAGAAAATATCAATGGGAGCTTCACTCTATAAATAATCCTCTCAGCACTTGGCTATTTGAATCAGCTCTCTTGTTTTCTTCTGGGTAGAAAGAGTTCTTTACCTGTTTTAAAGGTTGTTTCTTCCTTAAAAAAAGGAGAGATTGAGAAAGAGGAATGAACTAGAGTGAGAGCTTTTTGTTTGTATTGTGTTTATGTGCTCTGCTTCCGTTTTTTTCATGTGTCAAGTTCTTGATTAAGAATGAATGAGATAACATTCAATGTGTTTAGCGCATTCATTGCCCATTTAGCTAGACCCTTAGTATATGTCTACTCTCCTACTGATTTACACCTTCAGCCTGTTAAACTTTATGATTCTGCAGGAAAAAAAAATAGTGAAGCAAAAATACACCTCAAGAAATGGAGAATTGGTCTATACAGAATTTTTAATTCAATAAATATTTCATGAATATTCCAGGGATGATTACAGTATTTTCCAACCGCCTGGGCTGGCACAACATGGAACTACTACTTTCCCAATTTCAGAAGCGTCTTACATTTGGCGTCCAGAGGGAGCTGTGTGACCTGGTCCGGATATCCTTACTTAATGCACAGCGAGCCAGATTCCTCTATGCTTCTGGCTTTCTTACTGTGGCTGATCTTGCCAGAGCAGATGTTGCTGAGGTGGAAACTATTCTGAAAAAAGCTGTGCCTTTTAAAAGGTAAGGAAGTCCCCTACCTACATAGGGTTATTAAGTGGAAAATCAGGTCAATTTGTAAATAACAGATAATGTATTAAAATATTTTTCTCTTAGATAATACCATATTATACTTGGGGTAAGTAGAAGAAAATGTGGCTGCTTTTCCCCCCTTGAAGTTTCCTTTTTTTGTATATTTAAAATGTATTTTATGACTTTAAAGACATTATCATAACTCTCTCCTAGAAAGATTAAGCAAAGCTAAGTTACCAATGCTTTCTGCATTGATGGACTTTAGTTCTCAGTATATATCCAGGGCTCATCTTAGACTTTCTTCAGGCAAGAGCACTTTATAAATGTACTCCTTTTGACTGCTCTTTGAAACACTAGTCCTCAAAAACAGTTTGTGAGAAGACTCCTTGACTTGTGTGTGTGTGTGTGTGTGTGTGTGTAACCAATCATTGAATGGGCTGGATTCAGCTTATAATCAAGGAAAATCATAATTATTTTCTCAACCATGGTTCTTTGAACTCACTGTTATATGGAATCTCAGCCAGATCCTATGACTAAAGTACTAACAGTTTTATTTTCAGGTTTTAAAAATTTGTTTTAATAAGAGCATCAATCTCATTTCCAGTTCCATGCTTCTTTCCTCCCACTCACTTTAGGCCTGACACAGGCTCTGAAACTTGTAATGTGTAGGAAGGGATGGGGGCATAGTCAAATGAAAGGCCTCACTGCCCAGTGCCACCTCACAGCATGGGCTCCACTCCATGTCATCCAGCAGCAACCTAGGTATGGTTCCTGCTAGTGGGCCCGGGGCAGCATACACTATAACCAGCACAGCTGTTGAGGTATAGCTGTCTCTACCTAGATTTTGAAGGATGAAATCCCCTGGAGTCTTAGGTATGTGCAACACAAGCAGAGAACTGCTGCAGTGGGGGGTCCCTTCAGAGCCCCCACTAGGGCAATGCCTAGTACAACTGTGGGGGCAGGGCCATCCCCTGTGACCCAAGATCAGAAGGTCTGCTGGTGTGAGATTCTGTCACTTTGGGGTGTGCCTCTGGCTGAAGCCTACATAGAGTATGTTTTGAAATCTACTTGTAAAGGCGTTGATCTTCTCTGAAGCCTGTGATTTTCACAGAATCTTTAGATACATTCATACTTGCTTAGAAATATACAGTAGAAGTCCTAAGGTGGACAAATTCAGATGTGGGAGTATCTCTGTGGTAACAACATACCACATATCATACCTAACCCTTCCAGGGAGTCAGTCTAAAGGCAGTATACATTTTACAAAGTTTATTTGGAAAAAAGTTCTAAACACATTTTGGAATTGCTTCTTTGCTTCTTTGTGATGCTAAGGCTGTTATTCCCGTGACATGTCCTCCAAAAAAAAAAAAAAAAAAACTAAAAACAAAAAAATTAGTGACATCAGTAATAGGACAAATCAACATGATCTGTCTCCTCATGTGACACACTGAGAAAGACAGCATTGCTTCTGGAATATTCTTATCAAAAATGTCTAGCATGAACTGTGGGGAAACATCAGGCAAACCTAAATTGAGAGACATTCTACAAAATAATTGGCAAGTACTCTTCAAAAATATCATTATTTGTTTTCGACAAAGACTGAGGAGCTGATTCCAGTTAAAGCAGGCTAAAGAGACATGACAACTAAATGTACCACCTTATTCTAAGTTGTATTAGAGGAAGGACATAAGTGGAACAATTGGTAAAATTTGAATAAAGTGTGTAGATTAGAAACAGTATTATATTAATGCTAATTTTCTGAACAGAATCTGGTGTATCTGCAGACTGGCCACCCTTTCCTTTCAGTACTTGGTATATAAAAGCCAGAAAACCCAGCTAGCATTCAGATTGTCTCGAATAGTTTGCCATTACCAACAATCTACAATGAATTACCTTGTGCATGTGTATTTTCATATTGTTGGTAATGTTTCTTCAGAGTAGATTTCTAGACATGAGATTTCAAAAGGTAAGTGCAGATATAGCTTTATTAGATTCTAAATTGCTCTGCAGAAGGGTCCAGCCAAGTTGTATTCTCACTAGCTTCAACCTCACCAACAGAATCCATTGTTAGAAAACAAAATTCAGCTGAGTAAATTTGAAGATTTAATTGACTTTATTAGGTGCCTTATGAATCACAGCGTCTTATCTAGCGACTAGAAGGAGTTGTACATGAAAAAAGAAAGGATTGTTTTTAGGCCAGGGCATCTTTTGCGGAGGGGGTGGGGTGGAGGGTGGGGAGGAAAGGCAAGGGGGTTTTATCACGCGCATTGCTTCTTGGGGTTGGAGTAGAACAGGAGGGGAGGAGCTAGGAGGGAACTGGGAGAAAGGATGGATGGATTACCTCATTGGTGCGGACCAGAAAATTCTAGACTGTTTGATTAAGATTACATTTCAGGTGAAAGTCAAAACTGCTGTTAGGTTAGGTATTAAATCTAGGTTTGATATTCTGAGCTTTAGCCATTTTGGGCTGTGGCTTTTCTCTTTAACAGCTCCCTCCTTTTCTTTGTACTCTCATCCTGAGAGATGTGATCAAAATTTAAGGAATTTGTGTCACTCTCAGCTACTGTTCCGCAGCTTTGGTGATCTTCAGTGTGGAATCCATAGGTCATGTTTTTGCTGAACCCCTGTGATATTCATGGGCCGGGACTTCAGGTTCACATTTTTTGAGGTGGCTGGTGTTCTTGCTTATTTTCTGACATTCCACCCTTAGGAAGATCATTTCACTGCTGGTCAGTGGCTGCAAGCATGCATTTTAAACTTTTGAGAGGATCCAGTGCTCCAGGTGATTATGATAACTATAAGCAGGATAATCCTCAGTGTTTGGAGTGCACTTTGGAGCCATAGTCCCTGAGACCCAAATCAACCAAAGACCCCGTTGAAGGAGTCATCCTTTTAAGCCAAGTGGTCTTACGTAAATGTTTCTGCTTCCCCAGAAGTGTCAATCCGATTATAGCAGGTGGTGTTGGTCACAGCACAGACACTTACTTAGCTAAAAGATAATCAAAGGCTATCTTATTATCAAGAACAACATGACTAGAGAGTCTAAGTATTTTTGTTGGCATGTAGGGTCCTAGCAGTGGAATCCACAGTGTCTCTTAAGAGTTAAGAAAAAGTTCCTGATCATATTCTTATTTGTATTAACTCCTAATCAGGGAAGTAGGATTTTCCCAAAGGAAGCAATTCTTGAATCATGACTGCCTTCTGTTAGGCCCTTTCTCTAACAGTTAGGGGCACAGTTAGATAACCTAAGAGGCATAGTCTAATCGTATGCCTGCCATCTAGGCATTCATAGGCCCAAGGAGAATGATAACTAGCACAAAGATAAGACCAGTTGGGGCACAGACTATTCCTCTTAAGAAGTACTGATAGTGGATTCATTCACAGGGACTGCTGCATTTACCTATTCAGGCCAGGAGTCAGTCAGGTTTTTAGTGCATGGGGGAAGAGAATCTCCTAGCCTGAAATAGAGTTATCCTAAATTCTAAAGGTTATCCCTTCTTAGAAATGGCCTGGGAGATACAGATGATGGTGTTATCTTTCCAGGCCAATGTCAAAGTGAAGTTAAGAAAGAAAAGGAGAAAGGCTTTCATGTTTAGCTAAAGTAAGACTTGCATCTGGCCTCTTGGGTGACAGCAGTGTATATCTATACCAGCTACCTGTTTTTACTCATCAGTTTGATTCAGGGGTCTACAGTGTTGTACAGGACCGGATGTCAGGTGGTCCTCCTTAGCTGTGAGAAATGCACCCAAGGCTCAATACCATCTATATTTTTGCAACAGTGTCAGTGGTCAGGAGCACTTGAAAAGAAAGTTCCCTTTTGAAAGGGCTCAAGGGCTGCCTTTGTTCTTAGTGATATCAAAATAGAAGGGTGGGAGAAAACTGGAAATACTAGTTTGGTGAGTTGTAGACAGATAATAGAAGAAACTAGAAAAATCCCGGGTGCAGTCCAGTTTATAGGTATGTAATAAAATCTCAAAGACAATTTACAAGACTAGATTCTAGTATCTACAAAGGTGCACGTAATTTTTCTCTCTTCAATTACCCTCATTTTTCTTTAAACTAAAGATAATCACAGTAAAACTATTTGTTTGCATTAAACTTGGCCTGATTGTATAAGTGCAGTAAAAATAGTAACTGACCATTTAAATTCTTTTTAAAGCCTACTTTGCCAGAATCTTACAAGCAGGGTACCAGGTCCATTTTTTTTTTTTTTTGAAGCAGTTCCTTGAAGCAATCTGGTCATATCTGAGTCTATGCACATCTTTCTCAAATATGTCATTCCAGTCAAAACCTTGGTAATATACTCAATGTTTCTAATTGTAACCTGTTAAAAGGAGAACGGACTCTTATTGAAACTATGCAAGCAGATACATTGTAACGAGAGTAAGAAGATTCACTGAGGGTTTCTGAATTCTGGATGGATCAGGTAGAGAGAAAATGTAAATGTTTCATTTTTATTCACAAAGGTATACTTTGGTAAAGTTTTTAAGTCATAGATAGCTTAAGAAAACTTCTCCTTAAATTGGGGGAAAGCAAAACGTTAGCACATCCTCCTCAGTTCTTGTAGTCCCATATAATCAATACTTTTTCTACTTGAAGACAGTTTTTCAAAGGTCCAGAGGAAGGAAGCTTGAGGCCTCTAGGGATAAAAATAGTCCTTAAATGTACTATGGTGGTTGAAGGAATGCAAAAACAGAGAAATGGGGGTCTGTCAGGGAGCCAGGAAGAACCAAGAGACTTCTTTGGTTTTCCCATAGCCTCCCCAACTGTTTGTTTGATTTACAGTTTCTCTGATTCAGAAGCAGACTGTTGTCATGTTATAAGGACATCAGGATGGCGAAAGTCTGGCAGTAAGGGAGTAATTTTTGCAGAAGTGAAATGAACTTCATCTACACTTGCTATAGTCTTTATAGATTCTGTTGCTATTGCCTTTGCATGAAATTTTACATATATAAAACAGAAACAGACTCACAGACATTTAGAAAACAAAC